AAGAGCAATGTGACAAGTAGCTCTTTGTAGCAGCTTCTCATGTGCCCAGCTCAGATTTACTGCTCTGTTAGCGCAGTGTCTAGGGTAGTATGAGCCCAGTTGCTGCTGATTGAGGATATTTGCACATACAGAATAAATTCAGGAGTTGCTCCAGAGGTTATGCCCCACTGTGCTCACAAGTTATTTTACATCAGGGTGACATAAGTCATGAGGAACAACTGTGTGAGCACAGCTTGGCTCAGAGATGCCTTGGGGATATTCTGGACATCTCACCATCCTGCTCTGTGCCCTGTCATGTCCACCAGTCCTGTTCTTGGGTCCCACACACCAAATGTCACCATTCAGGCACTGGAGAGCTGCTGAGTTCTGCCTTTCGTGCCTGCAAACACTCACAGTTAATAAGCCTGGCAAGTGGGTGGGGAAGCAATTTCCAGCCAGCCCTGTATTGTATCCAGCCATTATACTTGCGTGTGACCCCACACTAGGCTCTTAAATTCTCTTGTCCTCTGGACAGAGGCAAAGATGAATTCCTGATACACAGAAAACACATATCACACATCATCCTGTTCACACAACAACAAGCTGGATGGCATAAACCAGCTTTTTCTTGGAGCTCATCCACAGCAAAACAAGAGATCAAGGAGAGAAAACCCAGGACTCCTGGTAGGGGACAGCCAAGACAGCCTGGAGCATCTCACCTCAAAGGTGCTGCCAGACAGAAGGGCTGCAAAAATCTGAGCCAAGGCCCCACAAGGGATTGGCTGCTGGCCTGAGAGCCCTCGGGGAGTGGCCACACTGCAGAGCAGGGTAAGCAGCACTGTGTACTTCATTTAAGGGTTTTGTCGTGCTCAAGGACATGTTTTTCCTTTTATTGCTCCTGCAGAGCACTGACACATGGAGCAGAAACTTTTCATTCTGAGTTCTCAGTTTGCTGGGGAGGGTCCAAACAGTAGCATCCATCAGTGAAAATGCTGCCTTTCTTTCCTGTTGGTTCCTGCACCAGCCAATATTTTAGATCTACAGCAATGGATTTTGCATGATTGTCCCTTCTGGCCCCAGACTCCTACTCATCTGCCATAATGTGACCAGCCCAGCCCAGAGCAAATTCAAAGCAAGCAAACAAGCAAAAAAAAAAAAAAAAAAAAAAAAAAAAAAAAAAAAAAAAAAAAAAAAAAAAAAAAAACAAACCACCCAACAAAATAAGCCTCACTACACCATGCTAATGAAGAACTGCTCTCATTGTCTAGCACAAGGAGTGTGATGCATTTGATCATGTAGAGAATTAATTCAGAAAATTGGTTTGCTGTCAAGTTTATCTTTGTAAATGTGAGCAATTTTTACTGACAAACCCATTTGGATATTATTTTTTCAGTGAAATCCCAGCAAGGCTTTCCTTATGTCACCATAAATCTTAGGAAGCTTTCCTTTGTAGTAAAACCTTTGTCACAGTATATTTGCAAAACTGTTGTAATCAATATTGCAGAAATATATGAAGTACAAACCAAGCAATAATTGTAAAGCACCAATTACAAAACACTTTCCTGTCCTCTTGGATGCCTGAAGCACATTGCAAAACTGTATGGATGGCACAGTGAAGGTCAGGCATGTTGACACATGAACATTTTAAATACAGAAAGTGCTGTTAGAGGTGGTTGCTTGTTGAGGTCTGTCGCCCCTGTTCCTTGGCCAGACACCTGCACTTACTTTGTTTGATGAAACAGCCAGCGTTACCTTCTGATCAACAGCAGCACCACACATCTCCCTCCATCCTTACAGTTTGCACAAGCAGATCTGTTCTTTGCTGTGGCACCAGGTTCCTTCCTCACGTCCATTTTCTCCTGTTTATTCAGATTGTGCTGCTAATGAGACACCTTTTTCCTGACCTGTGGCCTCCTGACTGCCTCATGCAGCCCCTGTGATGTTAAATTAAATGAGGCACAGCAGCAAGCCAGCAATCAAACTGTTGAAATCAACCTGTGCAAGCTAGGTGGGCTTCATTAACAACTTTTCATTCTGGGCAGGACAGGAAGGAAGGCAGAAGAGGGGAGCTATAACCACTGATGTTTGCCAAGGTCAGAGCTCTATGCTAGAGCTGGTGTACTGAAACTGAGTGTGGAAAAAAAAAAAACAAACCTGTGTCTTTGCAGACGTAGTAATAAAGCAAGAGCTGCTTGTGTTTCTTGACTTACATTATCTGTAACTAGTATCAAGATTTTCAAAGATTAACAGAGATGTTAACAGCTGTTCAACGTCTGGCAAGCCTAGAAATTAAGTGGCAAGAAACAAGAGCCTAAATGCTGCTGTTCTGAGGAGCTGGTGGAGGTGTTTGGGGGCAGAAGTCACTGTAACAGCATAGAAGGAATTAAATTAAATGAGCAAGAAACCATGAAAAGAGATAATTGGGGGAGTTTGGAAGGGAAGGGCTGTGGAAGGGGCTGGGTTTATTTGAAGAACTCATCAAGGTGGGACTTAGAATGAAGGAGCAGGAGCAGACTCGGTCAGTCTCAAGGGATGATGGAAATGGGAATTTAACAGCAGTTCATGGAGATGAAAGCAGACACTGGTACTGGAGGCCAGAAACCTCTATGGCTTCTATTCATGACCTTCATCCCTCAGTGATGCTTTACTACTTGCACTGTAAGGACTAATTAAGATTTTGTTCCACTACAAGAATACCTTAGCTTTTCCTGCTGCCTAACTCACATTATTAGAAACTTGACATTTGTTTGCTAATCCATGAATGAATCTATCCAAAGTGGCACGGTTTTTTCTGCTGTGCATCACTTGAAAGTGGCAGTCACCATTTAGGCAGGAGCACTCTGCAGACCGAAAAGGGTGGATAATGGAATCCACAAAGTAATTTGACTCTTGATGGGGAACATGAATATCCTTGGCTGGCTTTCACTTGGGGCCCTACCAGACAGTGTGGGGAAGAATCCCATGGTCTCTAGGTCCTGAGCAGCACAGGAGTAGAGGGTGCAGATAACAACAAGGGTATTCTTGGAGGAAATGTGTGTCCTCTTGTGTGGAAGAAATGCCACAGAAACAGGCAGCGAAAGCTTAGTTTAAATGCATCTGCTTCATGGCAGGTACCTCACTGAACACATGGAAGATGTGGTCCCTGTTGTAAATCACTTCTGTAGGTAGATAAAACCTCTGCCTTCTGTTAGAAATGTCCTAGTGTGAACTGTTCGTGACAGAACAGTTATCTGAATTCTTCAATCCTTGTTTTCTTGGAATCTGGAGGACTTTGGGGGAAGGTTTCTTCCTTTCTCTTTTTACTATGATGTCTGTTTCTGTAGAAGCCATCCACATGCTGGATGGCTGACATTCATCTTGAATATCCCTCTGATGCATCCTTTTGAAAAGCATCACGGCATGGGGGATTGAAAACATTTATAATACAGTTCCTGCAGACATGTGTGGTGGGGCTAAAAGAGGCAACTTCTTTTTTGGTTGTCATGTGATGCTAGAAATGAAGTAGTTCTAATTGCTTCACAGTCCTAAGGCAAAGTCTCCCATTAGCAACAGCTACTGTATATTAAAGATGTAATGGCAAGCACTTGAATAGCACTTTCTGTCTTCAAAGTACTTTGCAGACATTCTTTACTTCTGAATTAAGGGTCAGTTTCTGTCCCTTTTAACACTTTTCTAATGAGATAAATGTTCAATCTGCTTTGAGAAAGGGATAAAGCTCCTGACTCCAAATTCTACACTGAAATAGGGCTGTGTTCTGCTCATTTGTTTTCATGGTGTAAAGTGCTCCCAAAGGACATGCAGCTGGTATCACTTCTGCTGGTGGAGATCTTCAGACTGTAAAATCAGGTGCCTGTAAAGCTTCTGCCTTCAAACAGCTGGTGTGGGAGGTGGGCTCCTACCTAGTGCTTGTTCAGCCCTGTGCTCTGCACACAGTGTGAGGGGCAGGGGTCTTGAACTGGCACACACATGAGTTCCTGGCCCTGGAGAAGGTTGGGGATGCACGTGCACCAGCAGCTTAGTCCCTGTGTGGTGAGGAGCCATTGTCAGACATCTCTCATCCAGCTCCATTTCAGGGAGCTGCTGGGCCCAGGGTCAGGGGAACATTCCTTGCAGAAGATGAAGCCATGCAGCATTCTTATAATTTCCTATCAGTACCCAGTAACCAGTAACTCACAGGAAAGCTGGTCCAGTTGACAAAGACTCGGGTCCTCAAGTTGGAAATGTCTCTGAATGACCAAGTCTGGAGGAAGAGAAGGCTCTGTCATGTCACTGGTATCATTGACAAAACACCCATTGACTTGGATAAAAGTATGAGGATGCCCAACAGTGCTGACTTCTGATGTCATCTCTCTGGTTTACTTTGTTTTGCAAAGACCCTTTTGTGCTTGCTCTGTATTCTGAATATTCAGGTCATTCCTACGTACAGAGCCCCCATTTGTAATTAGATTGTGCGGTTTGTTAACCCTCTTACAGACAGATTTACTAGCAAGTCACACTGATCCTTCAATATAGGATTTAATAAAAGCCACAAGAGGAGGAGGAGGGTTGCTATTGTTCTGCCCTCAGTGCTGCCAAACGGTCCATTGTTTTTCTGTGTCTGTGTGTTCAAACACTGTGTGAACCAACGGGGCGCAGGCAGGAGGCTGGCGAGGGGGCAGCGAGAGGGTTAGCTGGATCCTAGCTAGAAATACTTGTGCAAGTCAGGAAGAAGGCATGGAGGGAAGGAAATTAAGTGGAGACATCTGTGTGGCTTAGCTTTCAGCAGCTCTGCCTGGGGTAGGGGTGGGAGAGTCATGCCTAAGGATGACATAACATATTTTGTCTTTCGTGGGTTGGAAACAGAGGAAACTGAGAAAGCGAAGCATGGTGTGTGTCACGCATGGTCCAGGCATACCAAGTACATAATGGAGCAGTGTCAGTGCTTTCTGTTCTGCCTTTCACACCCCAAAGTGGCTCTTCAAGGCAGAGAACTGAGGAGAATATGATATGGTCCAAAAACTGATCTTGGACTTTTTTCGCAGACGACTGAGCCAGAGGCCGACTGCCGAAGAATTGGAGCAGAGGAACATACTGAAACGTAAGTCCTGATTCTGCTGCCATTTAACCTGAAGCCAGATAATTTGGGTTAGGTTTCATATACATTTGGTGGTTTTTATGAACATCAGCTATTCTCTGTAAGCATCACTGATAATAAATAAAAATAATAAAGGGCATCGTAAGTGCAAATAAGCATGAAAGTCTGTAATAACATCTAAATCTGCAGAAACAGTTCTTTCAAACCAGAGTCAGTAAATTTACAAGAATAAACAACCTAAGGGGAAAAAATCCTAGGTCTTGAATGACATTCCAGACAGAGAGTCAGACATCCTGAAAAGCCTCCTTTGTGCAGCACTTATATAGATGAACATCCCATTGTAAGTTAGTAAAGACATTAGGGCATAGCTCGATTAGCTTTCCTAAAAATCTTCACAGCAATCTATGCTAGCTGGAGCCTTTATTCAATTTAAAAAATAATCCAGTGGGACTCAGGGTTATTCCCATGAAACTCTCCCTTTAAATCAGCCAAAAATTTGCAAGTAGATCCTCAGCCCATGTTATTTTAAAGGGACAAAATGCCACTCAGAAATCCTGAACCAAGTTAGTAGATACATTGTCACTGACTTGAAGGGAAGCTGGACTGAGTCCAACTTTCATAACCTCATGAATGAACAGGAAGAAAATTACAGTTTCTTTACTTGCTTGCAAGTGTTTTGAATATTAAAAACAAAAAAAACCTGTTTATATGATTGTTGTTGTTACTTTGGAAACAGAAAAAAAAAACAGCAAACAAACAAGTTCTTCCCTTTTTAAGTTAGTAAATGCATATTTCCAGGAAAATTTTTTAAACTTACTACAGAAAAAAGTATTCCAAAATGGTACCTTATACATAATGTCTCCTTAGGTAGGTCCATAATTCACCTTCTCTTGTTCGAATAGCTGCATTGTATAAAATCATAAAAATGTGGTAGCAGAAGATTAATTCTCTGAAAATCAGCAGAATTCATTTTTCAAATATTTCAAAATCAAATTCTTAGCAGATTAATGATAGTGTTAGTGCCCAGCAGGGTCTTTTTATCTGTTGATGTTATTACACGTAGCAGTCAGAGGGAGAGAGTCACCACTGTGAATGCAAGGAGGAGAAAAGACTGGACAGCAGAGCAGCGTGGGCAAGCCTGAGGCTGCTGGAAAAGCCATTTGTTTGGGACCAGCCCTCTCTTAGTAACTGTGCTCCTCCTGTCTGCTCCTAACTCCGGTGACTGACTGCTGGGGGAAGGCAGGGGCAGAACCTGGGGAAATATTTGGCACATCCAGCTGTGATTGTCTCCCAGGGGTGTAGCAGAACAGCTGGAGAAGGGGGACCTGCGACGTGACTGGTGTCAGGCTCACGCACAGAGAGACAGAGGCCAATTTTCTGGCACCTCATGTTGTCATCCTGGGACCTCTGGACAAACACGCGTCAGGCACCACCTGGCACTGGTGCATGGCCAGCAAACACTGCCCTGGCACTGGGGGAGGTGGCATCTTGGACACCTGCTTTGAACCAGCATCAGCAGAGAGCAGCATCTCCAGTGCTGGGTGCATTGCAGACATTCCTAAAGGTCATATTGCTGAGCACAGCAGTCACAGAGGGCCCTAAGGGTGTCTTACATTTCAGAGGAGTTACCCCTCGAGTAACACCAGTTTCTTTTTTAATTGAATAAAGGCTTTTAAATTACATGGATGTTTGAAAATATTACCCTGATTCCAGAACCACATTGTATTTCCTGAATGGATTTTTTTATAGCTTCCTTTAGCACAGATCTGCCCCAAACATGTGTGTCTTGGTAAACAAACAGCTTCCTAATTACAGGAAAGAGTAATGTGGTATTTCCAAGGCATTCCAACTTTTGGTGAACCACAGCAGGAAAGAAAAAAATAAATTTGTTACATAATTTTAAAAAGAAAGCATAAACATACTCTACACTTAAACCAGTAAAAATAAATATTTTCTGATTTGTATGTCATTTTGTGTCATTTCTCTAGACTTCTGAAAAGGAGCATTATAATAAATATAATGGAGTGTAGGGAAGGAGAAACTCAGGAAGTGCTAATAAAAAGAGTGTAAATTCTCTGCATTAGCAGGTCAAGCAATTTGCAAAAGCCCAGCCCAAAGCATGCACAAACACAAAAGAAAACCTACCAAGCTCTCAAGTAGACTAAACAGGACTTTCTCTGCAGTTAAAGCTGAAATCTTCCTGATGAAAGTGTCATGTCTGGTACTGTGATGTGCCTATTGCACGTGTAACTGCATTACTGCCCATGCTGATGGGGAAAAATGAGGCAAAGTGTGGTTGGATAGCCAGTCTTTATACATGAATTGAATGCTTCCTAGTTATGTGCTACTGCAATAAGAGTTATCTTTACAAGGGCAAAGCATCCATTTCCCAAGTTCTGTACTTGCTGATGGCAACGGTGAAATCACAGCAGCCACAGCAAGGAAACAGCAGAGACAGACAACTGGGTCTTGTGGGATGTCCTTCACTGAAGTATGCCCCAGTCACTGACTCATATTTAGATCAAGGGCATGGAGTGGGAGGAGTCCAGGCCTGCAGGGTTATTTTGAAGACTAAAGAACACTTTGCAGCTGTACTTGCTGTCCAAGGGTACACGGAAAGATGCCTCGATCCCCATCATGCACCACTCCATGCCACTTCACAGGTGGATGAAAGTAATCCAATTGTCAACCTGGCACATTCAGGGTTGCATAAATTTCTCATAAAAATTATGGTTAGGTGGGTTCTGAATACGTCAAACAGTACTGGGGGACATTTCACACTGGCACGAGATCAGGAGTGAAAATTGCACCTACATCACCCTGACACACAGGTTTAGAGAAACAGAGAATCTCCTGAACACCTAAGATGAAATAAAGCATCTGTTCTGTATCTTCACAAGATTGGCATGACTTAACTTCAAAGAAATAGGCTAAAACAAAGTCACTTTCTAGTTTTGAAGGAGAATGTATTCCTATTTTCCAGCTTTTACCTGCCTGAAGTCTTAAGCCTGGCTGTCTCTGAAAGTGGGTAGCTGGGCTGAGCGTGAGGAGAAGAGAAAAAACATCAGATGCCAAGGACATAAATGAGTAGCCATTACTAAGTTTTATATAAAACTCCTTGGCTGCTTGCAGTTCTACCCTGACTCTGTGCGGATTCTCTTTAGTTAGTGCTGTGTCTGAAAGCAAGCATTTGCAGGACCAGCTCCTCCAAATTTGAGACACAAAGGGAAGAAAAAAATTGCTAGAGGATCAATTGCTGGAGGAGTATCCAGCCGAGTAGGGACAGAAACCACTGAAAGAGGAAAATCATATTTATCAGTGTAGATACTCCAGTGATTGCTTAAAAAGACAGTTGTAACTCCCTGCTGTCTTGTGTTCTTTTTAGTCCCTACTGGTTTCCTTCCTTCTGAAAATATAAGCAGTATTTTTGGTAAAATGGCACTTAAAGATCAGAAGTGTAGTGTGAAACATCATAACATCGGCAGGTTCTGTGTCCACTTTGGTGGAGATTTCCCAGTCCTGCTGAAGTCAGTGAGCAGTTGTGGTAGCACTGTCTGTCCTGAGCAGTGACACCTGGTTTGCAGCCTAGCCCTTCTCACCTGTGCAGAGCCTTCTGTGGGCTCTCATTTCTGTGTGGGGAAAGCCCCAGTTTTCCAGTGAGAGTGCTGGCTTGTGCTCTCACAGCTGAAGAAGCTAGGGCTGGTGGGTTGTTCCTGCTGCTCTGCAGGAGGTGCCTGCTCCAACTGCAGGATCAGCAGAGAGGAACGTGGGATGCCCCCTTGAGTTTAGTGCAATCCAAAGTTTAACAATTTAAATCAAAGCACCTCTCCTCAGCTGGCCTTTGAGGTGCATAATGTCCCCTGCAGAGAGTTATTCCTGCCTGAGCTAGTCCTAGCTGAGCAAAAACTGGAACCCAGCAGGGGCGCAGAGTACTGACTGGAAAAGCTGATGAGTTGTGTTTGCTCTCACCTGTTTTGTGCTGGCATGATGGGAGTAAAGAGCGTTTCAGCCATCAGTAAAGCAGTGGAGACAGATCCTAACTGATCGAGAAGCTGAGTACCTGGAAGCCTGGGATTTTAGTGACTTTTGGTAAAGGTCAATGCAAAGGCAATGCATGACAGCCTGCTCCTAAGTTGAAGAAGAGTTAGTGTACTCCAATGTGATTGAACTCTTGAGGGAGAAGAGTTGAGGCATGCCCTGGTAAGAACTCGTAGCACGTGATCTTTTGGCTTAATGTTGAAAGTTAAATGACCTGGGATGAACTTTTATGCTCCAGTGTGAAACTTTGAAGGCTCGTGATGGAAGGACACACTCTCCTTAACTCCACTCATGCCATGGGGAGTTGCACAATTTGTCTGGCACCTCTATTCCAAAGGTTTTTTTCTATTATCTCCAAAAAGTAGCTACAAGAAATTATTCTGCAGATGGAAAAAAAATGTATGTGTTTCTTTTCCAACCACTGACCTTGCAGAATCCAACCCTATCGTAGCTGAGCCCCCTGAGGCCACCAGGCCTGTGGGCAGGGAGATAACATTTTTTTGAAGAGCTGGCTTGCTGCCCAGCCCTTCTAGAAAGTGACACACATGAAGAGGTGCCAACACAGGGAAAGGAAGGAAGCTGTAGATGTTTTATGAGGCGTGTGAAGAAGCACAGTAGCTACGGATCGAGGACATTCACCAGCCCCAGAGGGACATACTGTGCATCAGAGAGGTCCTGAAACATTAATACACTTACTGATGGAAAGGCTTATTTTGTTGCAAACGGTGCATGCCTGATGAGTCCACAGTCTGAGATCCTTGTAAATCTTTTACAGCCCGGAATGAGCAAGAGGAGCAGGAGGAAAAACGAGAGATTAAGAGAAGATTAACACGTAAGGTGAGAAGCAACTTTGATCCTATTATGACACTACTCTAACTTTCTCCCTACTGCACAGTTGTTTGCCTTTTTCCTTTTCTTCAGCACCATTTTCAAAAGTAGAGTGTGAAACAAGTCTTACAAAAAAATCTTTACAAGAAATCAGCAATGTTGCAGGGTGTAAGTCCATGGAGAGCAAAGGAAACCACTTTGCAGGCTACTGCTGGTAACATTTCAAACAGAAAAAAAGAAGATCTAGTCTTCATAACTGAAGGAGTTTTGAACAGTGAAGGATAAAGATCAGCATTTACAAGGACCAGTGCTTCTTGTAAGTGTAATGGCTTCTGTAGCCATTACAGAGAGCAAAGTTAAAGCAATGCTGATTTGAAAATTCCACCAAAAAAAACCCTCATAAAACTGGAAGCTAAACATTTTCTGGAAAGGGAGGTTGTCAACTGAGGCATTTAAACTTAATAGAGACAAGCATTTATGAAAAAGTATATAGTGCAGAAAACAATCTTGTATTGGCAAGGAAGGACAAACAAAACAGCATCGCTTGATTCAAAAGTAATTTACTCTTAAACTGAAGAACAGTCATTTCAGATGTACCCATTCAGTTTTGCAGCTGGCATAAATGTCTACGGATGCCCAAACATACATAGTGAACAATCCATCCTACTATTGCAGATTAACTTTCTTTCAGCACTGACATATTTCCTGTCTCCAAGGGTAAAGAAAGCCCTCTAAAAACTCACATACTTGTGAAGCAGCACCATTCCCTTTCTGTGCAATTTTAGATGGCTTCATTTTTTTGACCTATGTGATCACAGCTTTCATGGTATAAATATTAACAAGGAAAGGTCTCTAAATATATGTGGAAAGGTTACATTCTGAGAACTGAATTGCTTTCTACCATGGTTAAAAATCTCATGCCTTAACTCTCAGTTCATGTAAATAAGTAGAATTCTTGGTGACCAGTGGGGGGATACTGCTCTTGTCTGCAGGAGCTAGACAGCCATAATATTGTTTGTTAAACACTTCTATTCCTCACTACGATGACAGGGATGATTGTGCATTCCCTCTTCCTGAAAGAAAGGATCCTAACTGCATTGCAGATGTTTCATGGGATTGAGGCTCTGCGCAAAGGCTGGAAATGCCATTTTGCCAGGCTTTCAATTCCCCTGTACATTGAAGGGTAAACACGTGCAGGAATCCAGTGCGGAGCTTGATGCCATTTGAGGAGCAGCTGTAATAGACACAGAGCAAAGCTCCCTCCCCACACCCACTGTGCTGCTTAAGAAGTGAGGGCTTGCCGACTGAGCCGGCACCATCGCCACACGGTTCCCATCCTTCCCATCCTTCACTATCCTGTAGGAAGGGTGCAGAGCACAGGAATCAGCTGTCACAGGCAGAGGCCACAGCTCAACTAAAGCACCCAGGCTGCCACCGCTTCACAGCAGTGTCTGCTCCCTAAAACCTCAGCAGTTATCTGGGAGATTTCTTGCTTTGTCTTTTTTGCCCTTTTATGTAGGAACAACAGAGAAAGCAGCATCAGTGCAAGGCCCTGGCATTTAGCTCTTTACTACCCCTGTTCCTGGTCACAAACCTTTTAGTCTTTTTTTTTACTTCCTCTCTAGTAAAGATTTTTCTCCCCTACATTTCTGAGGTTGATAGCAACACAGCTTAACATTGTTTGCTTTGGATCACCTTTTTAAACTGTTGTAAATTGTTCTAGTGACACATGTAATTTTAATGAAAGAACTGCAGGGCTGATCTAACAACAGATTGTGTTCTCACCTACCAAACATATCATCACAAAAGCTCAGAAATCACCAGAGAAAAGAAGTGAATAAAGTGTGCAAGTGTTTTAGATAACAACTAGAAATGCCAACCACTGAGTGAATCCTGCAAAAATAGTTGTTATTCCCCAGCTGTTTCTTTCATGAGCCTGTCCCAGATGTGTCGTGTTTACAGCAGAGTGGGAAGCTCCTTCTGTTGGTTTGTACTGAAGTCTTACTACCTAAGGATTTTAAACCCCAGATCAAGCAGAAGTTTAATTGAGCACAGCAAGTGTGTTGCCCAGCAGCCCTTTCTGTTTGCACTGAATTTTCAAGCACACATGTGCCCGCAGGGTAAATTCAACATGAGGAAACTCTGCCATGTTGCCTCTTTTGGAAATGTGTGTAGTTGGGATTTAAGAAGGGAAGTGGGTTCTGTAGAAGCCACTGATGAGACTTTTGACCTTGCACTACAGAAACTGCTACTGTCCCTAGATTTTTTGGTGGCAACATTCCAGTTCCAAGGGAAGAACCCACTCCATCCATAAAAAAGCTATTCTTAAAATTCTGTCAGCACTGACATTTTGTTACAGTGTTATGATGATAAGTTGTAACATGACATGCTGTAATAAGTAAGATTACCTTGCTAGGTCTAGATTCCTTATTAAAGTGAGCAATAAATATCCGGTTGAATTCATCATTTGGACAGGCAATTTCTAAAAAAAAAATAACATTATAAAGAAATCAGGTGACCTATAGCAAGCTGCCTCCTTTAGCATTTTCCATCCTCTCCGACTCATCTAGTTCCACGTTGACTGGGGTGAGGAACAGCTACCATTCAAATAACAAAGTGAAGGATATGCTGTTGGCTAAGTTTCTCAGCAGCTCGTGTCCCTCCTGTCCAAGGAAGGAGAGTGGAAGCATGTTTGCCTGTCATGTGGTATGTCCAGCCCCCCATCCTCTCTCCCTGCCCCTCGGGCCCACCGAGCGCCTTTGGGCACGCGGGCTTGCATCATTGGAGTGGAGGCACACGTGGATTAGGAAGGTTTTTTCTCTGAGCACCGGTCTTGACCTCCAGCCCATTCAAAGAATATTAATGTGCAGAAGCCCTCTGGAAGTGTTGCAGATGGGTCACGTCCACAGGGAAATCTGGGCCCCCGTGAATTACTACCAAGAGCGTATCCTCTCTGAACCATAGCAAACTTGGCCAAGGACCAAGGCAATTAACCCAAGCCTCAATGTCCCCTGAGGACTTCCATTACAGAGAGAGAATCGCAGCCTGGATTAACAGAACATCTTACAAATCACTTACAAGGTGGAATAGAACTCTTTTTTTTCATCCCTTCTCTTCTCTTAAATGGTACCATGCTTCTCAATCCCCAGAGCTGTTACTGCTTCCTATCCCCCCACTGCCAATAGTTTATTTTTCTCAGAGGTCTAGCTCCAAAAGGAAATCTCCCAGAGCTGTAATACTGACTGTCAAATTGAAGAGGTGTGGCTGTTTCTTAAATTCCATGCCATAATCTGAAATCTTTGCTCCTGTTAAATTCTTGCCCCAGTTCAATTTAAATGCTCTGTTCACTGATGCCTCTCTGGAAAATGTCTCCCCTGCTTGAAGATGTTCAAGCTTTTCTTTAACTGACCTTCACTGGCTTGCATCAGCAAAGGCTGTTGAAAATAATGAACTCTTGAGAGAGGTGGGACTCATCAGAGGGAGGTGAAAGAAAGGCAGCAGGGAGCAGAAAGGTCAGAGAGGAAGAAAAGGTTAGTGGCTAATTTAGATAAACTGCATTTATAGTCAGAAGGAAAGGTCTTCAGGGCATTTTCATCACATCCTGCTCCTAAGTCTTTACTGCAAAAGGTGGGGAGCAAAGGAGGGGGAGGGGTGCTGCTGGTTAGGGTTTGTAATTTGTAATTTTTCAGTGTGTTTTCTTCTTTAAATAACAACTGTAACATTTTAATGAGGAAACAGAGCAGGCAATGATGGCATGCTAAGATAAGTATGTGACTGAAGTGGGGGCAAACTCATCATTTTGCATTTGACTAAATCCCAAGACCAGACTGGCAACAGTAAGTCCCCCTCCACTTTACCTGGTGGGAGTGCTTGGGTTTGCTTCATTTCACATGCCACAGACAAAGAGGGAGTGTTAAACCTTCCTTTTCAAATTGCCTTAGTATCAAAGCCTGGAAAATGCCCATTTGTATGTACTAGTGCTCCAGAATATACAGAAGAAAATTTGACCAGGCATGAGGGTCCTGTCCTCATTTACTGCTCTTGCATTAATACAAATCCATTTATTTTGAAAGGGAATTTTACCCTGGTTCACACTCATATAATTAGTCACTCACCATAGAATTACCCTGCTCCCTCAGCTCCCAGATCTTCACAAATAGATAAATAGAAATGAAAATGCCCAGGTATTGCACACAGAAGAAGTCCAGACACAGTCATGCCCGTACATCCCTTTGACATTACTGAAGCAAATTAAAAAGGATCAGTAAGAACCCCTCTCCCTGCTTGGAGCACCGCACCTTGTGCAGACAATTGCACGGTGCCCTTGGCCGTGTCCTTGTCCTGTAATTTCTGAATGTGCCCTATTCTTTCTGCCTGTTAGAAGAGCTTGTTCTCAGGTGCTCCTTGATAAGGACTCTGCAGCATTAAGCAGTTTAGACCCAAGAGACCAAAGCTCACAGGTCACAAAAATAAACTGCAAGGTGAGATCTCAGATGAGCTGTGCCCTCGGCGTGGACACACATTGAACTGACACCTGCAGTGGGGCTGCTTGCAGTCCTGCAAAGCTGAACTGACTGCAATTCCCCAGCTATTCAAGAGTTAAGGGAGCTCTGGGCAGCCCAAACATACTGCAAGACTCTCACACCTAGAAGGTCACAAGAAATCTCTGCAATGCTATGAGAAGAAGGCAGAGAAAGTTGTTAACCATTCCAATAATGTAACCTTAATTAATGGCTTTTATAAAATTACTTAGCATGGTTGTCTCTCTCGTTACACTTAGCATGATCAGATTGGCACTTTGGTTTAATGTACTGAATATATTTTGTGTGCATGTATTTATATATGGAAATATATGTAGATTTATGGCTACACATGAACTATGTGATACCAGCCATGGATTTCAGCACTCTTTCACAGCAGGAGCACTGGCACAACAGTCAGTGCATCTTTTTTCCATCCTCATTCCCTTCCTCCTGAGCATCTCACAGGCAGGACATTAGTGCAGCTCTGCAGACTCTCCACATGAGGTGTTTGAGCCCAATTTGTGTGTGCATGCTCAGGGATGCTGGTGTAAGGAGAGCAGCCCCACTGCTGCCTCCCATCACAATCATCTTTTCTAAACAGAGAAGAGGAAGAAAACTAACTGTGCCAAGAAAAAGCACACAGGCTTACAGCCAGATGCTGAATAGGGTAGTGGAGCTCCACCCAAGTGCTGAAGAAAGGAGGGATTTTTCACCCTTCACTTAGTAACCTGGCTGTTTTAAATCTTAATTCTCCCTGGAAGATGAAATGCAGGGAACTGAGATACTTAATTTGGAAGAAAGGTGGATTCAGGGGCATAAATAATGTTGCAGAATAGAATCTCAAGCCTTTTATTAAATATTTAGACCCTTCACCCTTCACAAGGGTAAAGTATTTCAAACACATCTATTTTTAGTGAGTGGGAAGAGCATGATGCACTGTAGGAAATTGTTATCAGGATATTTTTTTCCTGATGTATCCTGGTTACAAATGTTCTACTCTAACAGTGAAACTTTTCAGCTCATCTACAGCCCCATGCACACATTCATGTAGCACCTTCAGAAACGATTGTGTAATTGCTTTTGACATTCACCAGCATGCTGTGCATCCAAGGAGAATTGATCCCTGAAAGCCAGCTGCTGTCCCTGCCCATGTAACTGGCTGTGTGACACGTGTGCTATCAGGACACTAATTTAAGAGGAGTTTTTCACTGTGGCTGCCTATTCTACTGTGGAATTTGAAAGAAATACTTGAAACAATGAAGATGCTTTCCTGACATGATACAATCCAACCACTGCCATCTCTTTTGGCTTGTAGTATGCAACATAAAATCTTAATAATCAGATATGGTGTGATACAAACCACAAATGTCAATAGATACAGTTAAAAGTTCAATGAGCACTAATCATCCTGCCTGCCTTTTCTGGAGGTAAGGACTGCAGAACATCAGAATGGTAAAGAAAGTTGGTTTTCACCTTTTGCCTGTAATTCAGGGCAGGAGCCACTCCGTGCCTTGGCCTGACTCTTCCTAGGCAGTGCAAAAGTACAGACAACAGCAGAAGAAGGCTGAAAGTGCACAGCCTGTGCTGGTCATTTTAGAGTAGTGTTGGCATCTTTGTCTCTCCCTTGGATATCAGTGCACTAGGAGTCTTTCTTGCCTTACATCTCATTTCTGCTAAGGGTGATCAACATCAGCTGGGAATTGTGGTCTCCAGCCACAGCAGCTTCCCAAAGAACAGTGGGCTGCTCTGGCAGAAGGTGGGATGATATTCAAGGTGTTATAACAAAGGGCATTTCCCAGGTAAAAATTCTCTGAAAGGCAGATAAAAACAAAGCAGTGGGAATGTCCAAACCCTGTTATTACTGTAACAGTGGTTGCAGTAAAATAAATCCCCAAGCAGCACTCTGCAGGGAAAAAGCCAAGTCCTGATGTCTTTTTCCACTCTTTCCTCAAACCTGCAGCTGAGTCAAAGGCCCACAGTAGAAGAGCTACGTGAGAGGAAGATCCTCATCCGCTTCAGTGACTACGTGGAGGTGGCAGACGCGCAGGACTACGACAGGAGGGCAGACAAACCCTGGACACGACTCACAGCCGCTGACAAAGTAAGGGGGCAACTCTGGGAGAGCCATGGCCTCAACAGCCAGAGCATGCCATGGCAAACAGCATCCCTTGGGTCCCATAGGCCCCATGGCTGTCAAGGAATAAACATCTACCTGGCATCCTGTTCCAACACACCTGTGGTTTTTTCCCATTCACGCAGTTATTTTGTTTCTTTGTTTGTTTGTTGCATAAATCTTTGGCAGGAAGGTTTCTATATGCATGGAAACCAGGAGGGAAGGAATCCCAAGCCCCTTGAGGAAAGGTCTTGATGACAGCCGTGTTGTTTGTTTGTTGGTTTTGGTCCTACCACATTATGCTGCCAGCTGAGAGCTCTGGCAAGACTTAGCAGAGCAGTGAGACAGGAGTGTGTGCCAGAATGGCTGTGCCAGGACAGGACAGGGTTGGGTGTGAAAATGCCAGCAGGTCAATTTGGCAAAGGTACCTCCATCCCTCCAAAGCCAAAGTCACTTCTCTCTAGTGTGTTAGAACTGGGATATTTGCTCAGGATTTCTGCCACAGAGTATTTTAAGCAACTGAACTGAAATCACACAAGACCTGCAGATGAAAAGAAAGGAATACTTTGGTGTTGATGGAACTGCCTCTGAGCACTTGTGGAACTCCCACTAGATAGTGTCTCTGGTGTTGGTATTGATGGCATTAATACCTATTAAGTTGCTGGCAAATTATATCAGTCACATTCTGAGGGTCCTAATGGGACCTCAGGAAAAATATTTAACAGATTTTATGGACATTGTAAGAAGCAAGGACTATGAGGCTCAGTGATTCACTCATGAATCTTATAGTCTCTCTATGATGCCCTTTTAATTTCAAAGACTTTCAGATAAGTGAATTCAAGCCTTGACTTTGCCATGGAACTCAGTCATTCAGCAATGGAGAGCATGATGTCCAATGTTCAGAGCTTTAGCAGTTTCCAGCCACACATTTATGGTGCATTTTTGGTCCTCTTGGTTTTATTCACAAAGGAGAGCCTGTTATACTTGTATAATTCAACCAAAGGATTTGTACAGTTTTTTGACATTGTTCTCCTCCTTGATAGAGGGATTTTTTCAGTTTAGCTTTGGTTAAGTTAATGTAGCGTAAACATGATCTGAAAAAAAAAAAAAACTTCCTCAGGACTGTCCATAGACCATAATATACTGGGTTAAATTAGCTTTTTTCATTTACCTCACCATGTTTGACAAGATATTAGTCAACTGACTTAACTTTATTCTCTTGATTATTAGATGAGGGAGGGAATAAATCTCCCAACTGGTTCTACAGCCTTTGAGAGATCCCTGTCTGGTTTGAAAGGCATGGAGAAACTTCAGCTGGGCATGGAGATTTGCTCTCTCATCCTATGTCTCTGAAAAGAATAAGCATTAAATACCGTTATTAAATGTAACCTAGTAAGGAATTTAGTATTAAGGCAGAGTATTTGTCACTTTCTCTTTTTTTATAATGCATGTGCAAGTTCAGTAGTCAGAGAAAAGGGTTAAGCCCTTCAAATTAACCTTTCTCAGCAAAGCACCATCAGAAGAAGAGATGTTTGTCATTCTAATATTACTGCCTTTTATGGCATAAGGAAGCAGATAGATTGGGGTTTTTTGGATTTTGTGGGCAGTATTTTGATTTCTGTCATACAGGTGACCTGCTTTTCCTCAACACTATGTCCACTGTTGGAAAAATTAGCCAGACAAATTGAAACAAAGCTGCATCATCCTAGATAGGATGCTGAGATTCAGTAGCTGTCTTCATTGGTCAGCACAGACTAGATTTACTGCAAAAACAGATTTTAGGAATGGGTTTTTCTGTTTGCCAGTAAATCTTGCTCTGTGTGCTGGGTGGAGGGAACTGCCTTCAGTCAGAGTTTGTCTTTAGCAGGTCTGACTCTTAGGGGAAGGAAAAGGGCATTTTTGCATTTCTCCAACAGATGAGGGATGGAGGGGGGAACAGATCTCAGTCCCTGTGGGAATCAGCCACCCCTGTGGCCTCCACAGTCACTTCAGTAGCAGATTGCTCTGCTGAAGGCAGCCCAGGAGCTGCTGCACAGCCATCACTCTGTCCTGATGGATAGGCAGCACCTGACAAGCACTTCTAAGGGAAATAAGAAACCAAAGCTGTGGAGAAGGAGCAGGAAGGGCCTTTTCTGTACAAAAACACTTGGAAAATCCATAACTTAGGGTTTGTCAAAGCAAAGGTAGTTGTCGACTGCAGCAGAGGCTGTTGCAAAAGTCCTGTTTTGGGCTTGTGCTACTCATCCTGGTTTTGATTTCCTTCACTGAGAAAAATTCCTGACAGACATGAGTACCACCTACTGGAGTACCCCCTTTCCACCTCTGTCCTAATGTTTTCAGCATCACACAGAAAGGCAGTGCACACACCTCAGACCCTTGGGAGCCTTTGGCCACAGCAGACCCCTTGTCCATCCCCTCCAAATGCTCACACCACTCGTGAACACCACTCGTGAACAACAAATAGCACAGAGCTGTCAGAGGTCTTGACTCTGAGCTTGGGACTTGAGCCATTTCTGCTGAGCACTATCTCTACCATCAGCTGAGTCCCTCCAAGTCACCCCCTCTGATTTTTTATTCTTCAGTATTTCTTTTCCTGCCAGTGCCCCCTGGTTTTCTTTGCCCTCACAGAGAAGCCACAGAGGCTGAATACCACCACGCCATGGCAGGTTTTCTGCTGGCTTAATTTGTCAAATCACTTCAATAAACAGCACAGCTGTGTCAGAAGAGAGGAGCAGGGCAGAAGGGCACAGCCCAAGGCAGAATAGAGGGCAGGGAGCCTCTTTCCTTCCCAAGTAAGATCAGTCACTTTAGGTAACATCACCTGAGCAAATTCAGGACCAATAAAGGCAGAAGACATCTCAAACACAAGTCTGTCAGTTTCAGGGCCTGGTCTAGTCACAGTCCAGTATGGAACAGATCACAGTGTTTCACAAACTGCAGTGCACATTTTTCTTCTCATGCTTGTGCTAATTTGGATTTTGTACAGGTTAATGTTCACATAATAAGCCAGAATTGGGTTCTGTACCTGCATTGTCTGTGATATGTTTTCAAATTGAGCCATTCCACCAAAGCATTTCTCTCTTCCCTTTATGTGATTTAGAACATGCTTATCTCTGTTCCTTTTCACATTTTAAAGTCTTTATGTTTGTCTTTGTCTCTCTGATAATGTTATCTCTCTGCTTTACTTTTAATATACTGTTTTGAGAACAAAGTGACCTTATTTTGATCTCTCTCATTTATACATTTATGAGTTTCTTTGTCGTTTGCAGGCAGCCATTCGAAAAGAGCTTAATGAATTTAAAAGCTCTGAAATGGAAGTTCATGAATTAAGTAGGCATCTAACAAGGTAAGCTGAGAGATTAATTTTTTAAGACTATAAATGAATACTGTTGTTTTCAAAAGAAAATCAAAGCCAGCAGCTGTTTCTCCAACATGCACTGAACACACCATGAGGTCTAGACAACATTTAGAATTACAGGCTGTAAAAACAACTCACACAGACAAACACGTGCTGCCCCATTATGTGGAGTTATGCAGGCACGTGCCATTTAATGAAGTATAACCTGGGTTTTTTTTAAATCATCATGCTGCATATCTGTTCTTCTGAGATGAAAAATTTTTAAAAATAGTTGTTGTCAGAAGGAGGACAGGGAACCCTTGTAGAGCACGTAGCAAAGTCTGAATGAGCACACACTGAGCCCTGTTGTTTGTGCAGCTGTTCCACACCACAGAGATCCCACCCACAGATCTCTCAGTCTCGTCCTCCACACCTGGCCACTGATGCAGTGGGGCATGGCAAGATCCACACTGTAAGAGAAGCACTGTTATTTACACCTTGGGCTTCTTTTTAGTTTTAAAAGTAGAGACTGAACAAATTATCCATGAGCCCAAAGCAGCCACTTCCCTCTCTGACATTCTAGGGCTGAAGTCAGGTCTTTGCAAATCAACACTTTAGACTTTGTGTTGGGTACTGAAGACAAGTGACAGTGAGATCTGGTGTGAAACTGGAGCTGCCCTTGTATTAATGTGTTCATCAGTTCACTGCTCATGAAAAATGCAGGTGGTACTTTTAGGAAAAATACAGAAAAGCTTAAGGCAAAATTAATTTTGTATTAGAAGATTTTTATGTGTATAAATTAATAATTATATTAAAATTCACCACATGTATTATGCATATATTACCTTGCAGAAGCGATCTCCCTTCTCCGTCCTAGCATGTGCTAGGCTGGTTGCACTGGGGTTTGTAGTGAGGGAGTGCTGCTGGAGACAAGGCAGCTGCTCCTGAGCCACAAGGTCTGGGAGAAGCCTTAGGGTGTACAGTTGACTTAGATCTGTTGACCCCAGTGACTGAGCCTTTAAGGGCCATTTGGCTCCTCCAGGCAAGGTGACAAATGTAGAAAGGATGAGGCTGTTTTAAAGAGGGTGCTGCTACAAGTAGTCAAGCTCCATTGAGAGCTCCTTTGAATTCCATGAAGCCTTTGGCATCCCACAACATACAGACTGGTTTAGTTTCCCAGAAGTCTCTCCGGCTCTTGGCTTTCACAGGTTTCTGCACAGTATTTTCCTTCTCTTCCAGTGTTGGAGTAAGCAGTGACCCTTTAAAGTTTGTATCTGAAAACCCCTGAGCAGCTTGGACTCCGTAATTGTGGGCCAGGCAGAGAGCCACAGGTCACATAACAGACCCTGGAATAAGGCTTTGCCTGAAGAGCAGCAGGACTTACTGGTTCAACAAGTGGCTTTGGGAAAACGCACTTGAAGGAGGCATGCTTAAACAAAAGAGAGTATTTCCCTTAAATAAACTTAGATAAATCACCATTATAAAGTCATTAGCAAGATAATGAGCTCTTCATGTCATTAAGCAGTGGTAAGAGCAAAGAATGTGAGTGTCACTTTACTAGTGGGACACATTAATTAATTCATAATAGAGTGAAAAATCAAAGCTTAAAAAATGCGTATTTGCAGATCTGACAAACCAAGGCCTTCTGACAGAAGGTACCTTGCAGGAAGGGGCCATTTTAGCTCCATTTGTCTCTTTAGCGTCCAACATTAGGGAATAATCGTGGTTAAACTGCATGTAAATCTTTGTGGCAGAATAGCATAAGGTTTGTCTAAACCAGACAATTTTTGTGGAGTCAGGCCTTGTATGGCCTGGAAGAGGGCGAGCTGATCTGCTATTGCCCACTCAGGATGGACCTGAAGTGTATGAATGTCTCTGTTAGATTGTGGTGCAAACAGCCTACACCTTTGAACTGTGAGTCTGGCAAGGGCCAAGGAAGTGTGAGTGTCTGTCTGTTTTGGGTCCTCTTGCTAGCGTGGCTGATGTCAATGCTGCAGGAATTGAGCTGCCTAATGGTGTCACTGCAGCAATTAGTTCTCCTACTTTTTTTTATGTGCAATATACATGTGAGGATATTATCTTACTGTTTCTCTTTTTTTTCCCCCTTGGGTTTTAGGTTTCATAGACCGTAGCAGATCAATTCTACCTGACTACTATGCCATCTTCAAAACATAACTAAAAGGAACCATAAGTGCTGGTATTATTCACTTCCCTGTTACGTACAATGTAAATCTTCCAAACTGCCTTTCTAAAAAAAAAAAAAAAAAAAAAAAAGGTAGAAAAATAAATATTAAAAAAAAGGAGAATTGTATTTACATGTGATGAGTACTACAGCATCATCAGACCTGCTGGTTCAAGCTTCAGTAACAGAAAATACCCCTGGTGGGAAATCGTGCCAAGACTTGGCATCTATGTATAGGACTTTCCCGGCATGTGGATTTGCCATATGTGTTCAAGCCCAGCTGGTGGTGCAACCATTGTTGTCTTCAGGCACCCCTCATCCTGCCAAGCCTCTGTCATCAAGCCTAGGGAGCCCTGAGACGTGTTCAGGGAATCACTTGCCTGGGTGAAGTCTCCAAAAGATGAGCGCCTATGGCACTGAAGCACTTACACCAAACACTCCTTTCCGGCTGAGAGCACCTTATGAGGACAGTGAAGGAACGAAACTCTCCGTGGGCCACCCCATCTGTGAATATCATCTGAGATAGAAAGGCATTTCTTTCCCTAGAGAAGTTTTCAGCCAGTCAGTAGACATTATTCAGCTTCCAAGCAGAAAAATCCTCTGAAGAACAGGACTCCCTACTGAAGGCTGCTTCACTTCTAGCAACTGTTTGTTTTCCATCTCTTTCAAGCATAATTTTTTAAACCCGGTTGTGAGCCCATTAGCAGTAAGTGACAAGAACACTGAGAACCAGCAAGCAAAAGCCCATTTCTTCATGGTCACTGCATGGCATCTGCTCTGCTTGTAGTTTGTCTTACACCCAAACCTTGTGACTGTGTGAGAGCCAGCATGCCCCCAGCAGCAGGAAAGGCTGGGATTGCCCTCCGGCTCTGCAGAGGGACACACAACAGGAGGGGCAGGAGGTTCCATGGAGGATATCTATTGTCTCTCTATCAGGTGTCTCAAGAACTTATCCTAAGCTCACACTGAGCAAAGCATGACAAGGTGTATTACCTGTCCTGACAAAAGGAATCTAGGGCATTCTTATGGATGGTGGGACTCATCACTGGTACCCACAGCTGAGGCATAAGGACAGCAATTCAGAGGTGTTCTGAATTTATTGGTTCTAACTTTGATTTTAATTTATTTTTATTATAATGGTTTAACACACAAACTGACCAAGCAGAGCTCAGAGAGCTGGTCACTCTGAGCCTGGCTTACTTGCCAACTTAAGCGTGTGCTTCACAGTGAGGAAGCACACACAGCCTCACTGCTTTCAGGAATATGTCTTAGAGGCTTAATTGAACCTGAACACAATTAAGTGCTTTTCTGAACTTAGGCCATCACCTTCCAGAATTAAGTCCTTACCTAGTATAATGCCAGCAAACTGGGGCAGACATTGTCAGGATTCCTTTCAAACTCTTACAGGATACATGCCATGTTTTGGGACAGTGGCTGAAAGCACTGTAGCAACATGACTGTAAGAAGTTTCAGATTATTATTCCAGGACACCTTTTATTCCACAAAAGCTATTTTCCTTTGACAGTTTGAACAGAGAGGCCAAAGTTTTTTACTACAGAATAGTTATTTCTGTTATTCTTTTACTAATTTTTCCTTTCTCACTGTCTTCCATGTATCTATCCTCTCTTCTGTGCTCCCTGTCCAGCTCCCCCTGTTCCATGCTAACATCACCCTTCACTGATTGCAGGCTGAGATGCCTCTCACCCTTGAGCATTTAATGCTCAAGTGCAGTGCAGTGTAGTGCCAACACTCCTGCCTCTTCTCAGGCCTCACCTCACTCCTCTGGATGCAGGAGTATGGCCAAAGGACCTGCACAGAGCCCAAGGAGTGGCTCTAGCACCAGCCTGCCCCAACAGCCCCAGCAGTGAGGGTGACACCCTCCATCTGCTCTTGGTGGCGGCACTCAGCACCTCGCAGATTGGCCCTCCAGCAGAGAGAAGCAAAAGCTTTTCATTCTCATCCATGGCCATCCTTGCAATGCTGTGGATTATTAGTTATTAAATGGCTGTTGTAGGATGGAACATCAAAGGAGGGTAAAAACCAGGTGGTTTCTGGTGCTTCCCAGACTGGGTGATGATTCCTGAGGAAGTGCACCGTGATCCCTGTATCACCAGCTCACACTTGCTTTAGATAAAAGTTCATCAGTAGTGAAAGCCTTCAGTGTGCAGTGTTATCAGCTCAGCGCAGCAGAGACAGAGCACTACCAGCCAGGAACACACTGCTTTGGGGTTATTGTCGTGAAAACCTCAGTTTGTGTTTATAAATTCATTCACATACATATGCACACAAGTTACAAAACTGCTTCAGAGCTTTAAAACAAGGAAAGAAAGTCTTTATGCTTTTAACTGCACAGACTACACTGCATTAGCAAAGAGCTCTGGAACAGAGCTGTTCTGAAGAACAACAAATCCTTGTGTTCCCAGCATGGATCTCACACTGGCATCTCTAGTGTAGAGGGTCACTGTGAAATGGAAGGCACACTGTTTAAGGAGCAGTGGTGACAGGAATCACAGGACTTGGTAGGCTAGTGGGAGGGAAAGGTGAGGGTTTGTTTCATTTTCATTAACCAAATTAAGACGACGGAGGTGGAAGTCGCAGGCTGCTGCTGTGTGTCCATTGTTAGTGCTGGAGTCCCCAGGGGAATGATCACTCTGGGTACTGCCACTGTCCCTCACGGGCACAGCCCCAAGCAGTGCCCACACTGCCAGTCTGACACTCCAAATAAACCCTTGTCTGAGACACATAACAGCCAAGTCCTGGGTGATGGCCAAACATTTCCCAGCATCTTCATCCAGTGCGCCCATGGCAGGTCCCTGCTGACCACTCAGCAAGTTGCCACACTCAGCCTTGCCCCATGATTTTGTGCTGTCCCCAGGGCAGCTCCCTGCAGCCATGCTCTTTTTTTTTTTCTTATTTCTTTTGGGTTTTTTATTTAACTCCTAACTGAGCAGACACCAGAGAGAAGTGAAAGAATTGCCATATTTCTCCCCAGAAAGAAATAGAGCTTATTCCTGAAAAGGGTGAAGGGGAGGAAAAAGAAGCCATACAAGGTGTTTGGCACTGCAGTATCGCCAAACTGACACTTCATCTGCTTTCAGCTTCAGTGGGTCTGGGTAGTTTGCAAAGTTAACCTTTGCCAAGGCATTCCACAACAGGAATGTTCCTTTCAGGGCCTGAACACAGCACGGCATCCTTGGTGTGCACACCCACCTCTGGCATCCCTAGGAAGTTGCACACAGACTGGGGAACTGCTGGTCCCTTTTTTAATAAATCTGGTTTCTTGAGAATTGTTTTCTGATCTGTGAAAGTTATCTCCATCATGGCAAAGGAGCTGTGATTCTGGTGGCAGTAAAGGGAAAAAACCAAACAACAAACAGTCATGATTTCTCTCCTTTGAGCTGGATTATGTGTAGGACATAATGATGGCATTCCTGCTAAGACTGCTAAAAGTCATCCCCGTTCTGACTGGAAGGAGATTAATAGTGGTAATAAAGAAATTACACCAGGTTTAGAGACTGGAAAAATCAATACAGAATAAAAATGACTATTTCAGAGGTAATCCATCTCCAGAGGTAATAATCAAGGAATAGCGGCATTTTTGTTATATCTACCAAATTCTGAGTATTTAAAGTGTGCAAGTATTTTGACATCTGCTGTATTCAGCAGCCTGCAGAATAATGAAGTAGAAATGGGGACTAAGGGGTGGCTGGGGAGGTGGTGGAGATTAAAAAAGCAGTTCCAAAATATCTAGACAAAAAAGTTTTGGTTGTTTGGGAAAAGTGATGGTGAGGAAGCCCAAGAGTGGCACACCTTCACCAGCAGAGGGTTGCAGGGACCTGGTGACACCATTGTGACTCAGAGGGAATGTGGGCATTGTGGCTTTTGCCCACCCTACACCCCACTGGGTGGGTACTCGCAGGCTGAAGGAGTTTCAGGCTGCAGGTTTGCTGGGAAGGAGCTCAGGCCAACATTTGGGTCTAGGCAGTTCCTAGTGAACACACTGGGCATTATGAGAAATGAAGGAAGAGTCAGGGAAAAGAACATAATAGACTTTTGGTTATTTTATGTTAACTGAAACCATTTAGTGAGGCCATTACACAAATAAATCTCATCCTAATCCATGTGTAACCACTGAAGTCTGTCAATCACTGCAACTACTCACCAAATTCACCCTTCCTTATTTCTACAGCACCACCTGTGCAATGCAAACACTATAAACCAAGAGAGGGGGGAGCACTTCCAACATGCCTAGTGAAGCTTGCACTTGTAAAAATAGATGGGCAAGGTGGAAACCCATAGTTTTACATGAATGGGGGCTCCCTAACGTGCCTGCAAATAAAATAACTTTGTATAAATAGCCATGGGAGATGACTAGGCTAATAAAAAAATCAGGAAAGAAGGGAGGACAAATTATTTTTCCCAGGTGTTCAGTCTGCTTGAGCTTGGAACAACTTCTGTAAACAAAGAGGAGGTGACGGGCACATACCCTGTGTTCCTGTGTGTCCCAGTTACTCCTGCACCAGTTGCATTTTCCAGTTGATATCCAAGTGTATGTATATAGATTGTCTTTGTATAGGAGTGAGTGTGGTGGCTGTCAATCGTGATCTTCCAGTATTGTAATTTAACAGATTATGGCTGTATGAAAATGATGTAAATAACTAGAAAAAATTAAACTGGATCTCTATGTCCTAGTTTTTGTACATACTGAAACTGCATGGTATTTAAATTATTGTTTGTCTCTGATGTATGCAGTTTCTTAAAAAAATTCATTTAAAAAAAGCTTTCTGGTGCCTGTGTATTTTATCACCCTCTGTCCCAGTGACTGACAATGTGACACAGAGGCACTCAAGGATACCAGCCAGGCTCTCCCACACCTCCATGGGAGCAAAGCAGGAAAGGGAGGCTTCCCAGAGTGGATGGATGGGACAGATCAGATGAGCCCCAAGCACCGTGGCTGGGCTGGTGCAGCTCACAAAGGAGGACAAGTGGTACCTCAGCTGCTGAAGGGGTACCTGGCACCCCCCAGTGAAGAGCAAATCCAACAGCCTGCACTAGACATGCACAGGCATCCAAAAACCCCAGAACCAAACCC